GGGGCCAGAGGATGGGCGGGGCGGTACCAGAGGGAGGGCGAGGGGCGGGGAAATGCCGAGGAGCAGACGGAGGGGCGTGGCCTTCTTACTAAAGGGGCGGAGCCAAGAGGGTGGGCGACAGTGCCAGGAAGGAGTGGAAAGCGGCCTGAAGGGCGGTGCCTAGACCGCAGAGGGCGCAGCCTTTAGGGGAAGAGGGGCCGAGGCCTGGAGTCGGGCGAGGGACACGGGAGAGGATGGTGAACGAGCCTTGGCAGAGAGGATAGGAGCGTGGATCCCTGAGTGTGTTGGGGTGGAGCTAGCGGTGCCATTGAGGAGGGGGTGGAAAGATTCTAATGCTCTGAGGTAGGGTCTGAGCCTAGATTTGCAGAGGGAGCGAGAAAGGGGGCCGAAAGAAACGATTCAGAAACTTTTGGGGCACGCGGAGGAGCTCAAACATGGGCGGGGCTAAAGCAACGGGGAATTATTCAAATATAACTGGGTGGAGTCGGATTCCAGGCGATTCCAAGTGTGCGAAAATTAGAAGGGTCTGGAGCTGTGTGCGTGAATCCTGGATGGGCAGGGCCTGGAAGAGAAAATAGCCGAAGCCCCAGAGGGGAGGGGTCGAACTAAAAAAAGTAAAGAAAAAAAAAAAAAATATATATATATAGTTTTTGAGACAGGGTCTCTCTCCGTCGCCCAGACTGGAATGCAGTGATGCCATCACGGCTCACTGCTGCCTCGATCTCCCGGGTTCAGGTAATCTTCCCACCTAAGCCTCCTGAGTAGCTAGGATCACAGGTGTGTTCCACCGCACCTGGCTGAATTTTAATTTTTGTAGAGACGGGGTCTTTCTATATTTCGCAGACTGGTCTCAAACTCCTGGACTTAAGCAATCCGCCTGCCATGGCCTCCCTAAGTGCTAGGGTTACAGGCGTGAGTCACCGCGCCCGGCCAAGTATGGTATTTACAGGTTTTGAGGCTGGGGGCTGTACCACGGAGGCGGGAGGAGCTTGGATTGGGTGTTATGTTGAGAACACAGATTCTAGAATTAGTATCCCTGTAACACCGGTTACTTCTGTCACTCTGTTTCTTCTTCCATCTGTAAACTGGAGATGATGTATAACAGCGTGCGACACATTAGTACTATGTGATAGTTTGCTACTGATACAGTATTATCTTTTTTCTTTTTTTCCTGATTGAGATCCCAAACCCCGCTTTGTAGGTGCAGGAGAGAGGAGACCCAGAAGTGTAATTCCTTCTAGTGACCCGCCTAAAGAGGGTCAAAGGACAGGAAGGAGATTTAGATGGTTTAAAATCTCACAGCGGAGGGGATTAACGGAGGGGGCGGGCAGGTGTACAGGGTGGAGACTTCCTGATCCCAGGGCTGAAGGATGGCGGCCCTGGCCCGCCAGCTGCAGCGTCTCCTCTGGACCGCTTGCAAGAAAAAGGAGAAGGAGAAGGAGGGGGAGGAGGAAGAGGAGGATGAAGAGGAGGGGCGCGGGGCCCTCGATGGGCCTCGGTCTCTGTTGACAGCGCCGCGCCGCGCCCAGCGGCCGCACGGGGGTGCCGAGGCGTCTTGTGGCCTGCGCTTCGGGGCGAGCGCAGCGCAAGGCTGGCGCGCGCGCATGGAGGATGCCCACTGCACTTGGCTTTCGTTACCTGGTCTGCCCCTGGGCTGGGCCTTGTTTGCCGTCCTTGACGGCCACGGTGGGGCTCGAGCTGCCCGCTTCGGTGCACGCCATTTGCCAGA